AAAAAGAGAGAATAGAAAAAAAAACAGGGGGCAGGATAGGATGGAGGGAAATATAGTTAGTCTTTCATAATATGACTATTATGGAAATGTTTTGCATTACTACACATGTATAACCTATATCAAATTGCTTACCTTCTCAATGAAGGTGGGTGGGGAGGGAGGAAGGGAGAGAATTTGGAACTTAAAGTTTTAGAGATGAATGTTAGAAATTGTTTTTACATGCAACTGGGAAATAAGATATACAGACAAAGGGGTATAGAGATCTATTTCACAGGAAAATAGAAGGAGAAGGGGATAGCTCATAAATTGAGGAATGATTGAACAAGTTATGGCATATGATTGTGATGGAATACTGTTATGTTATAAGTGATGAAGGAGTGTGGTTTCCAAAAAAGACATGACAAGACCTACATGAATTAATCGATGCAAAGTGAAGTGAGAAGAACTGGGAGATCATTGTGCACAACAACAGCAATGATGTAATGATGATCAACTGTAAAAGACTTGGCTACTCTGATCAATACGATGATCCAAGCAATCCCAAAGGACTCATGATGAAAAAATCCAATCTACCTTTACAGGGCGAACTGATAAACTCTGAGTGCAAACTAAAGTATAATTTTCTCATTTTCTTTCATTTTTTTTGTGATATGGCTAATATGGAAATATCCTGCATGATTTCATATGTATAATTGATACCATTTTGCTTGCCTTCTCAGTAGGTGGGGGAAGGATGGGAGAGAGAAGAGAATTTGGAACTGAAAATTTAAAAAGAAAAGAATGTTAAAAATAAATAATTTTTAAAAGAAGTAATGAAAGTCGTCATCTGCCAAATGAGATGAGATTAGATCATCTCTAAGGCCCCTTCCAATTCTAAATTGTATAATCTCATTAAGTTCTGAATTAGCATGATGGCAGCAAAAATAGATAAAAGGAAAAAGATGTGAGATGACATAAGTAGAAATCATAAGACTGCCAAGGGACTGCATATGGGAGGAGTCAAAGGTGGCAAAGGTTTAACTAACCCTTGACCCTTCCTCATGACCTTATAATTTGGAGGGAAATGGAAGGAGTAGTCTGCAGTAGAGAGGATTGCCAAAGATATGATATCCTCAGAGGAAAATAAGGTTTTAGCTAATGTGAAGAATTAAATGAAGTATTTGAGAATGTAGGTTTGTTGTTGTTGAGTCATTTTAGTTGTGTCCAACTCTTTGTGACCCCATTTGGGGTTTTCTTAGCAAATGTACTGGAATGGTTTTGCCATTTCCTTCTCCAGCTCATTTTACAGATAAGGAAATGGAGGCAAACAAGGTTAAGTGACTTGCCCAGGGTCACACATCTAGTAAGTGTCTGAGGCTGGATTTGAACTCAGAAAGAGGAGTCTTCCTGATTCCAAGCTCTATCCACTGCTCCTCCTAGGTATCCCCTGCGAATACAGGTAGATTTGTTTAAAGGTTATCAATGGGCACAAAGATAGTGTCTAGGACAGAAAGGGTGATGATATACACAACCGGTGTGTACATATATATTATATGTGGGCATATAAACAATACATATACACATATATAAAATGCATTACTATACATGCAGAGCACATCATTTGATTACAGTATGGTTAATTACAAGTATGTAGACATACATAATTTTTTCTTATGTATTTGTGTATAGGTATGCTTTGTTGTGTATAGAGGGCACATTTGATTATAGTGAAATAAATTCTGTGTCATAGATACTTTATAGCCAAGTTTTTGTACTAAGAATTCTCAGAATTCAAGAAACATCTAGCCCCCAATAGAAGAAAATCACAACCTAAACCAAGTAAGCTATTTTTTAATGATTCACACCACATTTTCTCCATTGTTAGTACAGACAGGATTTGACTACATTCCCATTTTATAAAAGAAAAACAAACAGTGAAGATGTGTGACCTGGAATAAGCCACTTAATCTATGATGAGTCAGTGGCAGATCTGGGAAATGAAGACAGATTTCCTGATTCCCAGATCAAGGCTCAAACCACAAGCCTACAAACTGTTAATTCCCTCCAACAAACTGTAGAACTAAAGACTCACACATGAAGCTTTCCGTACAATAGAAAATAATGAAAAACTTAGTACATTCTGTCAACTTAAAGTGATATTACTAGGAGGCATAAGTAGCTAAGAAATTGAAAAAAAGGAACCAAAAGCTTAAAAAGTTACCAGATTAGTACCTGGCAGTTGTTGCGTGCTTCAAAATCATCACTTCCAGATTTTCTTTCCTGATTTAATTTTTGATAACTCTCTCGTAGGAGGTAACAAACCAACCACTTGTATGCTGCCAGAGAAACTTAAAAACAAAAGAAATGACAGCTGTCACATGACTATAACTTGGGAGGTTCATGCCATTAGCAAGCACTTACCATCGTGGAGTTCTAAATTTAAAACAGGTAACTAACAGGAGCTCATGTGATGTGGCACTTCATGGCTACTCAGCACCTGTACAGACGTTATCTTGATTGATTCTCCCAACAATCCCGTGGGGCTCAATTGTGCAAGCATGAACACCTCCTCATTTTGCAGATGAGAAGACTAAGCAGAGCCCTTAAATGACTTGTCCAAGTTTGGGAAGCCAGCGGTAGGAGTAGGCACGATCTCACCCCAGGTTTTTTGACACCAAGGCCACTGTTCTGTTTAACACATTATGCTGCCTCTCTGGCGCATGAAGGGTTGAATGCTGTTTTTACCAAAATGAGTACTCTAGATCAAGCTCATCTATGAATCATCAAGCATTATTGTACTGTGCTGGGTTCTAGGTATATAAGGATAAACAGAAACAGTCCCTGACCTCAAGGAGATTACATTCTAATTGGAAAAACAACATGCACATATATGAGCATATATAAAACATATAAAAGGAAATCTTTGTAGGGAGAAGGTAGAAGGGGTAACAGCAGCTGGGGAAAACGAGGAAAAACAGAAGACGGAACTTCACCTAAGTCTTGAAGGAAACCAGGGTCTCCAAGAATGGAGGAATTACCTCATTCCCATCACACGAACTGAGGGGAGAGCCAATGCAAATGTACTGAGATAAGCAATAAAGTGTTGCAAATCTAGATTGGCTTGACAACAGAGTGCATTTAGGGAATTAATATGTAATAAGGCTAGACAGGTAGGAAGGGGTCAGCATGTAAAGAGCTGTAAATGTCAGAGGGGTTTTATATTTGCTAAAGGTAACAAAGAACCACTGTTAATTAATTAGTAAGGGAATAGCATAACTAAGACTGAACTTTAGGAAAACTGCTTTGACAAATGTGTGGAAGATAGATGGGAGTGAGAAAAGATTTGAATCTGGGAGATCAGTTAAGAGTCTACTGCAATAACCTGGATGAGAGGTGATAAAAGTTTGAGATATGAGTGGAGAAACTGGGTATATGTAAGTTATGGAGGTAGCAACTGATTGGCTATTGAGGTGAAGGAGAAATTGAGAATAATACAAAGGTTATAAACCTAGGTTACTGGAATGATAGTAGTGGGGTGAGGGAGGAGAGATAAGAAAACAAGTTCTGTTTTGACATGTTGAGTTTCAGATAGATGCCTATCGGACATATAGTTCAACATGTCCAATAGACAGTTGGTGCCTAGAGCTGGGGAGACAGACTAGGGCTGGACATATAGATTTAGGAGTCTACTACAATAAGATGATAGTTAAACCCATGGGAAGTGATGAAGTCACTGAGTGTAGAAAACAGACAAGAGGAACCAGAATAGAGCTTTGGGGAACACATGTATTTAGAGGGAGTGATATAGGCAATCCACCAAAGAAGACTAAGATGAACCAGCAAAGAGCAGCGTCACAACAAGCCAGAGAAGAGAGAACATCTAAGAGGAGCTGGCCAACCATATCAAATGCTGCTAAGAGGTCAAAAGGAAAAAGGATTGGGAAAGGGCTAGATTTAAGAGATCATACTATGCTAATTACATTTTTTAAAGGGCATGTTTACTCTCAAAGAGCTGCTCTAGAATTCCTTTTATTTTCAGTCACAGAAATAAAGATTCTAAATCCTTTTAAGTAAAATTCATTTTGAGCTAACTCAGTTTTATGATATTACTAGAATGTTTACTATTAGAACATTAAAAAAACTGCTATTATTTCTTGCATAGTAGTAATTTGGGGAACATTCATATTGACTGACATTTCCACAAATTTATTTTATATCCTTTTATATTTCATTATTTCTTAAATTCTTCCTCTGATGGTCAGTTCTCATGAAGATGAACAAAAGACTGGCATCATGAGGATGGTAATATTTTCCATGATTTATTTACACAGCAATGAATTTTAAGGAATCTGCCAAAGGCACAAAACTGTTTTTGCTAATTCCTTTTTTCAACAAATCAGAGATAACAGCTGCACAATGACCCACTAACCGTGGGACTATTCCATTTACACACCACACAATGTGCTGTTTCTCAAATGCTGCCCCAGAATTCTTAAATTGGAAATCATGGAATTGTAGAATGTTAGAGCTGGGAAAAAAAGAATCTAGTCCAATGCCTTCATCACTTATTTGTTTTTCAGTAACTGCTC